CACCTCACCAGCCCCTATGGCAATCTTCTTGCCTCTGCCTCCTGGGCGTTAAGGTTATAGGCACACACCATAATGCCTGGCTTTCTTTGGTCTTTCATTTTTGGAGCAGATAGGCCATGTGTTTTGTAGTTGACATTCCTTATCTTTTTTTCTTTTTTAATTCTGAGTTCAAGTGCTTGTAAGGAAGCTAAGAAATCCTTATGTTATCTACTGCTCAAAATAGAACTACAACCACCAAGCATGTAATTAGAAAAAACTCTTGTAATGTGAAAAAAGACATACCCTCAGATAGTCATTATCTATATTCATTATCACATGACTATATTTGTAATAGTCAAAAGGTAAAAAATGAACTAGATATTCTTTGAAAAAATGAACAAAATGGTTGATTGACACAGCAGAAGTTTTACAATAATAAAGAATGAGATATTCGTGTAGCAATATGGAAAACTCTTGGCAGCAAAAAGAAGTATCTGCAACAATTTTTATTATATTATTTACATACTTAGAAAATACACAAGTAAGGAGCTAGAGAGATAGCTCAACATTTAAGAGTGCGTACAGCTCTTCCAGGGGTACCAAGTTCAATTCCTTATTTATACCCATGCTGGGCAACTCACAACCACCTGTAACTCTGGCTCCAGAGGATCCGATGCCTTTTTTTCTAGTTTCCACAGGCACTGTATTCAGTGTACACATACCATCCTCCCTACATAATTAAAGATAATAAATCTTTACAAACTAATCCAAGCAAACAAACAACCCCCACAAAGCTAGTGTATAGAGCTATGAATATAGTTATGTAACTGGTAAATATACAAAAGCAGGCATGAGAAAAGCACACATAAGACATAAGGAGAAGGTGAAGCTCTCCATGAAGGGGAGGAGACAAATTAGCAGAGCAGGAGTGTTTTAATTGCACTGATGACTGAACAATGCCAGAAGAATATGTCAGAACATTAACATTTGTTAAAGCAAGGTGTAGTAGCATAGATAAGGTCACAACAAGTAAATAAGCACTTTTCTTGGTGCTATAAGCATTTCAGCTGTCAAAGAAAATGAGAATAACTCTGGATTTAAAATTGTCTTCTGCTGAACCAGGCCCCCTGAACATGGGTGTCAGTTGGGCAGTTGGGGGCCTTGGGCAGTCTATGGGGCCATTGGCAGTGGAACTAGTATTTATCCCTAGTGCATGAATGGGCTTCGGAAACCTACTCCCTATGAAGGGATAATCTCTCAGCCTAGGTACACGGGGGTGGGGGTGGGGGGGTTGGGGAGGTAGGAGGGTGCTAGATCCTGCCCCAAATGATGAGACAGACTTTGATGATCCCCATGGGAGGCATCACCCTCCCTAGGAGTGGATGGGGTGGGTGGGATGGGGAGATGGGGGGAGGAATGGGAGGATAGGAGAGAGAGTGAACTGGGATTGGTATGTAAAATTAGATTTTTTAAAAAATTTAAATAAATATTAATTAAAAAATAAAATTATCTTCTATAAAATGATTTTTCTTAAAAACCTCTTGCCAAATTGTTTATGGAGACAAGGTCTTGGTTATGTAGTTCAGGCTGGCACCAAATCCATTATACTCCTCTCTTAGCTTTATAAATACTGAAATCACAGATGTGTACTTGCTTTCAAGCCTGGACTAAAACCTCTTAAAAATTAAGGTGGGGGATTACTCAATTGGTAAAGTGCTAGCTGTATAAGAATGATGTCCTAGGCTGGGTGTGGTGACTCACACCTTAAATCCCATCACTCAAGAGGCAGAGGCAGAGGCAGAGGCAGGCAGATCTCTGAGTTCAAGGCCAGTTTGATCTACAGAGTGAGTTCCAGGATGACCAGGGCTACATAGGGAGACCTTGTCTAAAAAAAAAAAAAAATGAGGACCTGAGTTTAGGTTTATAACACCCTCATAAAACCATTGACAGGGGAGGGACAGACTGGTCCCCAGAGCTCACTGGCTAGCCATCTAGCCAAATCTGGAAGTGTTGGGTTCCTTGAGATATAAGATAGAAAGTGACTCAGGAAGACACCTACAATTGACTTTTGGTCTCCACATTCACAATACACCTGCACATATACAAACCTTTGTGAACTTGTAATAAACATACACAAATAAGAATTGAGGGGGAGGCAGATGTCTGGGAATAACAAAAAAAAAAAAAAAAAAAAAATCTCTGAATTTGAATAAAAGTCTTTACCAGATGAAGTTCCATTGGTATTATTCAAGAAAGCCTAGAAGCTAAATTTTCACACTCTCTAATGTAATCTGCTGCAAGATATTTTACATGTCTCCTGAAACTATGCTTAGAAAAAGTCTATGGAAGCTTGCACTTACTGCCCGAAGGGAAAAATGACAGAAAATAGATTGTTTTAAAAATTCATCTGGAGTTCACATGTTTCTAGAAGCAGTCTGAACAAGGTCTCTCTCATCAACAAATCCTCACCAAAGGGAAAATAAATAAGCTTTTTATCTCGGGGAAAATTACGTATAGAGGTATAAAACTTTCCCCTTCAAAATTTGCTGTGTTCAAAGCTAGGCTCAGTGGTACTCATCCTCTGTCACAGCAACAGCAATAGATAGAGAAGGCCAGTCTCAGCCATCCTCAGTCACATTCCAGAAGAGCTGGGTGACCTGAACTTTTGAACATTAGAAATAAATTGTGTCTTCTTCCAGCCATTCAGTAGTTGCTATTTGGCAGTTCTGGGAGACTTCTTAACAAACTAAATGTAATAAATATAATGACACAAGACCCAAGAACCTGTACAAATCTGGGCATGATGGCACACACACACCTGTAAATCCCAGCATTCATTGGGCAGAGGCAGTAAGATCAGGAGTTCAAGGCCAACTTCTACTTACTGAGTTTAAAGACAACCTGGGCTATAGGAGACCACATCTCAGATAAACACCAAACCAACCAATCAACCAAGCACCCCCCCCAAAATAAAAAAGGGACATCAGAAAGAGCCAAGTGTCAACTCTTGAAACACTAACCTAATATTCATAAAAATATCAGCCAGAGATTTTTTGTGAACAAGACAGACTAACTAAAATTCCAAACTTCAAAGAAAAAAATGAATAGTCAGGTAATTTTGCAAAATAAAAGTCATGAAGTAAAGGATATCAATTTGTACATGCTTTTTTGTGTTTGACTTTGTTTTAAAGTTATGTATGATCATAAAGCATTTGCAGATAGATCAACAGAACATAACAACAACAACAACAAACCCTCCCAGGAATAAGTCAATTTGGTATAGGAGTTTAGTAAATGAAAAGCCAATAGAAAACAAAATAGTATTCAACATAATGAACACAGATGAACCTAATCATCAGGAAAAACTAATTTAGACCTCCATACCTCATTACATTCAAGTATATTCTACATGGATTAACTATTTCATATGAAATAGTGAAAGAACCAAATGCATGTAAGTTTAAAGGTCATTTACATAATATGTCTTTTAAAGTACCACATTAGATCCCAAAGCCATTAAAGCCTTTTAATGTTGACTGCAAAAATTAAAAAGTCCAGGACATGAAAATAACAGACAAAACAATTTAAGGCATTCACATATTGATGAAAAACCTTCTTAGCTCATGTCACTGGTAAAGGTTGATAGTTTAACTATTAAATTTTTTATCTTAATTGGTAACAGAAAGGCACATAGATCATTAAACATGACATGGCCAAGTTTAATCACAATAATCACACAGTAAAAGCACTTGACTATTTCTGTGAGGCTGAAATAAAATCCCTGGCTGGCTTTATTTCTAGCAATAGAAGACAGGGAAATGAAATAAACTAAGTACCACCATCTGGCAGACTGTAGTCATCAAAGAAAGGCTTCAACAAGCAATTAGTCAATAGAGCTTGCCAAGTTTTCCTCTTCTAAAGAAATTACCAAGAGGTGAGTTATGCCCATTAATTAACATCACAGACATGTTTTGATCCTCTCTACACCTTAGATATACTAGAATCTAAAAGAATTGAGGGTCAAAATGACTAGTCAGATGAAACAAAGAACTATAGTCTCGTCTGTTCTAGATAACAGTGTTCAAATCTGCATGTAACATCATCATTCAAAAGATATTGTAAAGCTATACTGACATAATAATAGAGCTCAGCAATCATTTGCAAAATAGATTTCATGGAAATAAAAGTCAGTGAGGTATACCAGATCTTATACTGAGAATATCACTTATTCTAGTATACTATATCCTCTACTCCTTTCCCCAGAGCAGAGTCCATACAAATATTTGTTTTTTTTGGAAATTATAGAAATGCTTAGTGGTTGCTTTTGCTGAGGGTCAAGGTTTGATTCCCAGTACCCACATGGTAGTTTACAACCACTTGTAACTCCAGTTCCAGGGGAGCCGATGCCCTCTCTGGCCTCCATGGGCACTAAGCATTTATGTGGTGCACAGACATACACATACACACTCACACAACATATAGAACTATAACTTAAAAAACACACTCACATAAAATATAGAAATATAACTTAAAAAAAAAAAAACTTCGTTGCCAACACTGCAAAGGAAATCCTTCTTGCTGAGCCTGGTGGTACAGGCCTGTACTTCAGATTCTGGAGAGATTGAGGAAGGGGGACTGAAAAATCCTTCCTGGGCAACTAAGTTGGAAGTTAAGCCAAGAAACTTAGAGAGACTCTATCTCAAAATAAAATAAAATAAATAAAAAGACTAGCACTGTAGCTTGGGCAAGGCCCTCGGTTCAAACTTCAATCTTAAGAAAATAAGAAGTAAGGAATTTTGATCTTAAGAAAATAAGAACTAAAGAAACAACAAAAGCCCTCTTTTTTTTTTTAGCAAAACAAACAAACAAAAAACAAACACAAAGAGAAAAAAACAAAACAAAGAGGTTGAGTTTTTAAAGTCCCTGAAGGCTTTACAGTATATATGAAGAATGTATGATTCCACACATACAGAGACACACAAGGAATCACACATGATAGAGAATGGCTAAGGAGTGCTTACCTGATAGCGTGTTGGCTGATTGAGAATGCTGTTAAAACTGTGTGATTCAAAAACTCTCGAGTTAGACTGAGTGAAGAGGTTTAACTAGGAAAAAATACAATTAACCTAGTAAATTAGAATACATTCATTTGGAATAAGAAATATAGTCTATTTGATTCTCTTGGATGGCATTTCTGGAGCCAGCACGTTTGAGGAACATTTTGTGTGGGCTGATTTTATGAGGGGTGGGGGTTTAAATATTTCCAAAGGCAAATATCTGTGTGAGACATGTGTACCTTCATTAAAGCACTGGCAAGATACAGTGTAACAGAGCTGTTTATTAAGAATGTATGTTAGAAGTTTGCCCATACCTGGCATAAGTTTTCCTGGGGATATGCATCAACCATCCAGAACCCCAATGCCCCTGAAGTGGCTTGATTGGTTGCTGAGCTCAAGTTCCTCTCCTAAGTTGAACAGAAACCTACCATGGGTGTGGGTAGCCTTACAAGTATTTTGAAGCCCTACAATACCACCTAAAATAATACTTCTTCCCAAGCATCTTGCCTTACTCTGAGCAAGGATCAGACCTTTGGAAAGAACTGGGTTCAAGAATGAGGCTTTGCTCTCTGTCTCATCTATCTATCTATCTATCTATCTATCTATCTATCTATCTATCATCTATCTGTCATCTATCAATTATCTTCCATCTATCATCTATTTTTTCTGTCATTTATTTTCTACCTATTATCTATTTGTCTGTCTGTCTACTATATCATCTATCTATCTGATATCTATTTCTCTATCATCTATATCACCTATCTACCTATCTATCTATCATCATATATCCTCTCTCTGTATGTGTTTGTATGTGTGTGTCTCTTTCTCTGTCCCTGTGTCTCACCTCAAGTTTTGAGTAGGCAGGAGAAGAATGCTAGCACTGAGCCTAACCCTGTCCATCCTTCACACAGGCACGAGCAGGGCCATCATATCATTCAAGGGCAAGCTGCCATGTACAGGAGGTGATTCAAAAGTGCCCCCCCCCACAATTATATTCTCTCTACCTCCTGAACATCACGGTGGCAATTCAGGAAGGTATGGCAGGCCAGGGCAGAAGTGACAGGACTGGACAAGTCCTCTTGTTCACTTTTTTGCTAGGACCTGCTACTTTTCTCTCGGCCACTGGAGGCCAGTATCTGCCTGCTGACAGAGCTTAGCTGACCCAGCAGGGAATCGTTTCTTAAAGTCCTTCTAAAGAACAGTACAATAAAAAGGAGTTCAACTCAGTGTTTAGCTGTGGGTGTCTGCTTCTGCTTCCATCAGCTACTGAATGGCTTTCTGGCAGTACACGCTTAGCCCTTTTTCATTCACTGGGGAGGGGTGGTGGTGGTGGAGGGGTAGCCAGCTTTCGATGACCTGGGTGGCTCTGCCTACTGTTAGGACTGACAGTGTTTGATAAAGGTTTTGTCATTTTAGGGAAGTTCAGCTACTTAAGTCTTTATTATTACAAAAAAAATCCTCTCAAGAGTGGGGTTTACACTGTTTTGTGCATCAGAGAACATCCCTTGAAGTTTTCTTTCTGTAGGTAGCAGAATTCATGGACTTTGGACTTGAAACGGTCATAATGCACATGGTGGCACCAAAAACCAAGGGAGTAGAGACTTAGGCTTCACTGAAGGCATACAAGGAGAGCTGGCCAAAGGGTGCCCACTCCTGCCAAACTCCTGGATTCCAGTTGCAGAGAGGGAGGAGTGATGAGCAAAGGGGTCAAGACCAGGCTGGAGAAACCCACAGAGACAGCTGACCTGAACTAGGGGGAGTTCATGGACCCCAGTCTGATAGCTGGGAAACCAGCATTGTACTGTCTCAGACCCCCTGAATGTGGGTCTCAGTTAGAAGGCCTGGGCAGTCTATTGGACCTCTGACAATTAAACCAGGATGTATCCCTGGTGCACAAAAGGACTTTGGGAGCACATTCCCCATGGAGGGATACTCCCTTAACCTAGAGGCAGGAAGGCCCTACCCCAAATGACTTGACTGACTTTGAAGATCTCTTCTGGAAGGCCTCACCCTCCCTGGGCAGTGGATGGGTGATGGGATGTGGGGATGTGGGGGTTGGTGGGGGGCATGGGAGGATGGGAGGGAGAGGGACCTGGGATTGATATGTAAAATAAGAAAAAAAGTCAAAGAAAGAAAGAAAGAAAAAGGAAGGAAGGAAGGAAAGAAGGAAGGAAGGAAGCCTGGATTCCACCCATGCTCTGTACTGGCTTCAAGCCAGGTGACCTGGCAAGGGGTGAGTTACTCAAATGGCTTCAGGTGTCTCAGCTATAAAACTGGCTGGGATAATGATATCCACTTCACACAACTGCATGAAGTTTAAACACACAGCAAAGCAGCGTGGAATCTGACAAGGATGGGCACGGATGTTTGATGAGCTGGAGTGGGGGACACCCCATTTAACCCTCTCAGAAGCCCCATGACTTTTCCTCTTTTAGCTGAAGCAATTTATCTGTGTGGCTTGCTGATAGGTCTTAAGAGCCAGAGCTCAGACCCAGGTTTATTTAACCCAGCAGCGTCCCCTTCCTCACATGTTCCCGCATCTCGACATGTGTGTGAGATGTTATTTGAACAAGGCAGGGACAGCCAGTCACTGATGCAGGGTCTACTAGCACTGAGAGACCACATCCTAGTCACACAAAATGTATCGAGTAGTCACTTTCTTTTCAGCTTATTTTTAGGTGCTGGAGTTCAAACCGAGGGCATGCTAGGAGGCACTCCAAGCACAATGTCACTTTCTGTAGGAGTGAGATTCTTGGAAACACACGTCTACCTTTAAAAAAATAAGGAATTAAGTTGCATTAGAGAGAAAGCCTCTAACTTTGCTCAAGAAGGCCCATGTTTGCTCCCTAGGTGTCTACAGTGTTACAGTTGGAGACCATTTTCATCGTTTTTTTTTTTTTTTTTTTTTTGAGAAAGAATCTCACTCTAACTGGTCTCAAAAATCACAATATAGTTCAACCTGGCTTCAGACTCGGTATCCTCCTGCCTCTACCAAGTGCTGGGATTATGAGCATGCAGCACCACACCAGGCTCCGTTTTCACAATTTTAGACAGAAACAACAGTCTCATTCATTTGTTCCCATCTGCTTCCTTCCCTGTTATTTTAAATATGCCCGCAATGTTGTGTCTCCTACCCCAGTTCTATATATGGAAACTAAGTTCCTAGTGATGAAGTGTCACCATGAAACTCTCACTTTCCTAGTTAATGAATGGCTTCAGTGGGTCAATTCAAAGCTTTATTCTTCTTTATAAAGAGCATTCATTGCTATTTGGGAATATGCTCACGCTCGTATCTATGACATGGCACTACAGGAAAGATGATTTTGCTCAGTCTCTCTAAATATAGTGCTAGTGACTATGCATATGCCAAGGGGAAGGCCTGAAGTTAGAGTTACTTAACTTCAGGGTGACTGCTTCGAAGCACGGGAACATGGACGGACAATAACTTCTGCTTTCATGTTTAACAAGCTTTTCGTTTGCTTGTTTATATTATGGCACTTTACATAGGGCATAGACTAAGTGACTATTTGAAACACTCTGCAGATAGTATTAGTCTATGAGAGACCATGGAATAGACAGCTAACTTCAATATCTTGTAAGATCTCAACAGAAATGAATGAACAAGCATCAAAAGACAAAGGCATGGAACATTTGTTTTCGGATCTTGGCATCTTCTCAATACCTACCCTGGACTTCGAGTTACCCATGCCCAACTCCAGATCCTTCTGAAGTCTTCTCCTCCTGCATTTGGAAAAGTTAGTGATCCGCATGATGAAATAAACAAAGGATTTTGGACTAGGGACCAGACTGAAGGGTGGAGGTAATGTTTTTCCATCATCAAAGTAGGATAACCAAAGTTTTGAACGTGCAAACTTCCATTCTACATCGCTGTCATCCTGTCATAGAGCAAAACTCATTGTTAAAGTAGTAATGAATTTCTAAAATTTATTTTATTGTGTGTGTGTGTGTGTGTGTGTTTCTATGTGCTTGTGTGTGTGTGTGTGTGTGTACACATATCCCTGTGATGGCCAGAAGAGGGGACTGTAGTTATAACTGTGTAGTTGTGAGCCACCTCACAACTGTGGGTCCTGGGAACTAAAGTCTGGTTCTCATTCCCTTCAAGAACAGTGTTTGCTCTTAACTTCTAAGACATCTCTCCAGCCCCACAGTTACTAAATTTTACTAGACCTGATGTATGTTCTTACAGTAACTACATCATGTTTTAAACAATTAAGTAATTAATTGCATTTATCTGCATGTGATTCCTACATGTGTACATGATATAGAATCACATATATGCTATTCAAATGCTTTCTCTTCTACACATCTCTGTCTGTACCTACTGAAACGTAACCAGCAATTCCCATTCCTCATTCCAAGGTAAAGCAAAAAGGCAAGAAAAAAAATTCAGAGTCAAAGAAGGATAAAACTATTAGTCACTGTCTCCCTCTGTCATCCCAACCATTTCTTCACATTCATCATTGTTTCTCATTCTCTGCCTCCCTCCCTCGTTTCCCAGGCCCATCTATTCCAGGTGGGTATAGATGCTGTGTGCTTTACTCTAAAGGCTGCATTGATTTTTGCCTTATTCATCTTAATTTGTTTTGTATTGAGGATTTCACACTATCACAGGCTGGCCTGGAACTCACACTCTAGCTTAGGTTACCCCCTGCCACTTCCTCCTAAGTGCTGGAAAACAAGCATATGCCAACACTCTTCACTGGATCAATTGCATTCTGAAGTTTGTGTTTGTACTACATGTCACCAAATGTCACATAAATCCTACCAAGGCCAGGACTTGTCTCCATCTTTGCTTGTTCCTAATGTTCCCCAGGGTGATTGGCTCAAACGTCCTCATTGACAAAGAACATGAAGCAGGGTCACAGGTTTAGGAAGTGGGCACCTTTAATCCCCAGAGCCTATACTGATGCGACCATACATTCAGACATCTACAGTGCTGTACCTTTGGCTTCTGTAGGATCTACTGCACTGGTTAACCCTGATTGGCACTGTGACAGGATCTAGGCTCACTTAAAAGATAAATCCTGGGGCATTCTTGTGAGAGAGATTTTAGGGTGAGTTAATTTAGGTAGGATGGCCTACCATAAATATGGGTAGTTGTGGTCCAGGACTGCATAAAATGGAGAAAATGAGGTAAGGACCAATATTCATCTTTCTCTGTGTCCCAGCTGAGACTGCAGTGTGACCAGCTGCCTGAAGCTCTTGCTTTCCCCCACCTCGATGTACTGTCTGTCAGCCCAAACCAAACTCTTCCTTCCTTAATTTGCATTTGCCACAGCAACAAGAAAAATTACTAATACGCCAGCCCCCTGTGTTGAGGACACTATATAAGGAACAGCCATTACCGAAATGTGCTTAGACGCTAACTGTGGTGCTGCACACCTGTAATTCCAGCACCTGGGAACATGAAGCAGACAGGACATCATGAGTTTGAGGTCTTGGTAACATAGTGAGGTCCTGGGAAGCCTGGCTATAGAGTGAGACTCTGTCTTCAAAAAACCAGATTAGCATAGCTGTTCGGTGGAGGTAACACATGTCTAAGCAAAGACACTAAATCCAAAAGAGGGAGACATTTAAAAAGTGCAAAACCATGAAGAAGGCTATGGAACCAACACGTCCAAATTCCAATGCAGAGTAGTTTCCAGGGACTGAACATTTTGTCTAAAGAGTCACCTCAACTGCCGTATCCTCCACCAGGAGCAGTGCTGGGTGGCTTAGGAGTAATAATCCCCCTATAGGCAATATTTCCAGTCAATAGTCTTAAAGCTTTTGAGACACAGGGGGTGGGAAACACTTACCTCAATTTCTTGGTATGAGCTATTTATCATAGCAATTAGCATGTTGAGTAAAACAACTACCATAGTTACATTGTATATTCCATAAAGAACATATCCAATATTCTCTATGAATTTGTGGTCATATTTGAGGACAACAGAAGTCACTTCGGACAGTCCAAATATGGACCAAAACAAAGTCTTGAAACTTTCTTCCACACTGTTGAAAAATTAAACAAAGTAGTGAATAGTTTTTAGCGTTAAAAAGTAAAAATCAAAATGTTAGTATCTGATGCTACACAGATGTAAAATATTATTGTAAAATACTGTCATCATAAACTCCTAACAGTTACTTTAAAAGAAAAATTATTACTATTTACTTCATGTGTACTGGTGTTTGTTTACATGTATGTGTATGCACCACATGCATGCAGTGCCTGTAGAGGCCAGAAGAGGGCGTCAGATACCCTGGAACTGGAGTTATGAAGTATGTGGATGCTGGGACTTGAACCCAGGTCCTCTGCAAGAGCAACCAGAGCTCTTAACTGCTGAGTCATCTCTCTAGCTCCTTAATAATTGTTTCTAATAAAACATTTTAAGATAATGTTATGATATTTTATTTTTCAATTTTTTTGAGACAGTATTTCACTATGTGGCCCAGGCTGGCCTTGAACTGATCATCCTCCATCCAACTTCTAAGTGGTAGGTTTCCAGGCACATGCTACCATGTCCACATTGTTACTGTACTCAGTAGCAAGTATCCCCTGAGATTTGCAGGAGGTGGTATCAATGCTCAGCTTCACTCAACAGGAGGAAGATTAAGTGACGTCAAAACACCCACGCTTTCCTTCTGGAAGGATGGAAGTTAAGAGACTGATTTTGGAAGTGGTTTGGAAGTTTAAATCAAATTTAAATCAAATTAAAACTAAATATCCACTTCAAAAGAGGATGTGCAACTCACCATGACTTGCAATGAAGTAATTTGCGCCTAGAATAAAAACAAACTCAATACCCAGAGAACATACTAAAGAGCTTTGGTACATCCCGATGGTGGGATGCTGTGCCCACTGGGGATAACGGGGCAGGTTTATCTTCATACATTCATAATATAAACAACAGCAAAGATGTATCAAGTGAAAAAAATGTGGCAAGTGTGAGCGAACTGCTTAGTCATCTAAATACAAAAGAGAGGGCTATATAAATGCTTACATTCTTCTTTTTGGGGAAAAGAAATATCTGAAAGTATTCAAAGAAACCATGGCTTCCAAGAATGAAAGGCAACTTATGGATTGAGGGTCAGAGTATGAAGGAGAGGCTTTCCACTGTAAACACCCTCCTGTTTGTTTTTTAGCACAAGAACCTGCAGTCACCCCTTGTCATTTGTGGGGAGTTGGTTCCTGAGGCCCTCATGGGTATCAGCATCTCTGAGGATGTGCATGGGAACTCCAAATAAATGGTATTGTACTTCCAGGTTACCACTGTGCCATTTCTGGTATTATTTAAGCCATCTCTTGGTCACTTACAATAGCAAACATAATGCGAAGCTATGCAACTAATTGTTATACTATAGTGTTTAGGGAATAATGTCAGGAAAAGAATGTGCAAGCTCAATACAGATGCAGTTCCTTAAAATAATCATTTGACCCATAGTTGGTTGCACACGGGTTACGGATTCTGAAAGCCAGCTGCACTTCCTCCACAAAAATACTGCGCAGTTGGAAGAGGAGGGAGACAACCGAATGAGAGTACCCCCAGTCCTTCTAGCACAGGTAGTGTGCAAGCCCTGGCCAGACTGAGCTCCAAATTTCATCCCTCACATGACTTTTATCCACTGCATTGAGCTTGTTTTGCCACATGATCTTCAGATCTGTGCAATGAATAAAGACTCCTTAAAACAGTTCCACAGGTCAAGTTCATTGTGGAGCACAGGTGGAAAACTCTTACCCCTCACCCCAGAAAATCATTTATGAAACCAGTACTCAAAATATTTTAACAGATTTTTAAATAATAATGAAGCCTATAAACATGCAGTTTTAAATACTTGTTTACTTACTTATTCATTTAACCACTCACCTACGATTGCTTAACAATCTTGTATGTTCTAGAAATGTTGCTAGTCCCTGGGGATAGAGGCTGAGAATAAAGAATTCTGTTCCAATAGAAAGTTTCCCCTGACACAAAACTTTAGAGTGTGAAGTTGCAGCATGCGGAGGCAAGAGGCTGCACTCTTTAGCCTCAGTTTCTGAATTTGTTAAACCTGTCATGGCACAACCCTGCCCCTTCCTCTTGCTCCTTTACAAACTTCCCTGCCTGGGCTCCTTGCAGTATCTGTGGGTTGGGCTTGTATGGGGAAAGAGGGACGATGGGATGGAGCGGACACTGCAGTTCTGAGCTCCTACTGTGGGCAAGGGGCTTTATATAACCAGCCTTACGAAATCCTCACAACGACCTTATTTAAAAATCTATCATGCTTCTTTTAAAAATGAGGAAAAGGACACCAAGACATGTTCAGTAATTTAAACAAAGGGCACAGTTAGAAAATAGCAGAACTGTGTTAAAATCCTGGCCTGCCAGACTTCCCAGCCGATATTCCTTCCACTATAATATGTTGCCAGGCCTCCATTCAAAAGAGAAAAGAAAAATGTAATCTATCATATGAACTATTGTGAGGCAGGGGACACAGGGAATGGTCCAGGTCCTGTCTATTCACTAATGGAGTCACAGGATTCTTTTGTTTTGTTATTTATTACAAAGGACACGATGCTGTGCGGTATCTACGGGGAACTTACTGTGTAGCTGGCACTATGCGGAACAAAGGGGAGCTGGAGAGAGTTTATGATATTCCTGCTTTGCTTACAAGGGCTGAACACACAGGGAGGGACCCATCCCCAAGACAACCAAATGCCTATGGGTGACAGAGAGAATCTAACAGTCTAGGTAGCTCCATGGTGGGGGACCTTACAGTGACAGTGACTATGGAGGCTAATCAAGAAAGGCTTCAGAGAGGAGGTGACTCTTCAGGGCAGGAGGTGGAACTCTTTTTAGAGGAGCTGTCTTTCTGCTTCCTCTAGTCCCTGTACTCACTACTGATGAACACATTAACACAGAAGCTGAAAATGTAATAGACCTCAAAATGATGAAGCTAAATTTAGTGTCTATAAAAAAAGAGAGACATCCACTATTAGACATTTGCCATCCAGTTTCCTTAAAATGGCCCCTCTGGTCTGGTATTTTTCCAAATCCTGATCAATTCTTCACTTGCTGGACCTGCTGGAATTTCTTTTTTACATCTTTTTAGGATGATGTCTTACTTACGTGGTAAAAGCAGGATTGACTTTGGCCCCAAGGTAGTAAGAATAAAGGATGAACATGCCAATCATGAAAGCCAGAAACACCATAATGAACAGAACCATGAACTTGAATATGTCCTTCACAGTCCTTCCAAGGGAGATCTGCAAGGGCCCGAAGCTCTCGTTTGCAGGGAGGATGTATGCAATCCTGGAGAAGCTTAGAACCACAGCTATGGCATAGAGGCCTTCAGATATGATCTGAGGGTCAGAAGGGAGCCATTTATCTCTAGCTAGAAGAGGGGGAGAGAGGGATTTTAAAAATGGAGTTTTTAATTTATTCGTAACTATGCAAAGCAAATACTGCAAACAGATCTATTATAATGACAAGTGGTTCTTGCTTCAGCTGAAACTACTGGCAATTTAATTAACTGTCCAGGCATTATTTTTTAATGTTAAACTAGAAACAACATTTTTATTTCAGTGGATGAAACCCTATTATGAAGACACCAAGATGGCCTTAAAAGGCACAGAAACAGAATAACCAGTGTTCTTAGTTCATTAAGACTCTTGCTTGTTGATGTCAATAGATAATGTTTAAATTGCAGGTACTGCAATATTGCATACTTTGGAGACTTCCTTAAAATGTTAAAGTGTCTGTACTCTTCACGACATTGAGTCCTAGTCATACAGAGTCTTCCTCCCAAAAAACCACAACACTTCTAAATTCTGTGTTTTAGGCTTTCTTACCTGTAAAATGAGTGCCAGGTAATAATTTATTCTATCTTAATTAATTTATTATGGTAATTGGGTGAGGCAAGCACTCTAGGACTATGCAATATCCCTGTGCCTTTATTTATTTATTTGTTTGTTTGTTGGTTTATTTTTATTCACATGCAGGCTCTCACTAAGTTGCCCTAACTGACCTTGATCAATGTAGCCTGGCAGGTTTTGGGCTTATGGCCTTTCTGTCTTAGCCTCCTGTGTAGCTGGGATTGCAGGCCTGGCTAAAACACAACTATAATGCAAATTCACCAGTTATAGCTCCGTAATGCTGGCTTGTGCCAGCAAAGAAGCCATAAGTCTCTTCCACTTGGATGCCCTTGCCCTGGCCCAGACAGTGTCTACTGTTTCCACATCCAACCTTGTCATATGTATGGACTTTAGCTTCTGCATCCTGCCTCTGTCGGATTCCATTCATCTTATTCTACATCCCTGAGCATCTAGATTCCCAGATTCTGGAGCTCATGCTCTCCCTACTGCCCACAAACACTCTACATATTTCTCATGCAAAGCATACAGTGGCTACCTATTAATCTGAGGTTTGGCATTCCATAATTTCAGTGATTGATGATCAACTGTAGTCTGAAAATATCAAACAGCAAATCCCAGAAGCAAAGAATGTATATGTTTTAAACTGTCCAGCCTTCTAAGCATCATAATGGTCCAGTCTCCACCTGCTCCATCCTTCCTATCCTTCATCCTCTGTCCAGTGATCCACAGTGTATAGGCTGTCTGCCCCTTCCTTAGTGCCTGAGTAGCAGTGGAGCTTATCAGACTGACAGTCTCTACACAGTAGGTGTAGAAGCTTTTATCTTAATCATAATCCTAGAACTCAGAAGTAGTGATGCTGGCAATTTTATTATAGTAGACTATTATAATCTTTGTGTTTTATTAATTACCAATCAATCATGGGCTCTAATTTATAAACTAAGCTTTATCACAAGCATGTATTTACACGTGAGAGAGGACACAGTATATGTATGGATTGATTCTATCATGGTTTCTGGCATCTTAGAATATCCCCAACTCAGACAGGAGAGCTACCATGACTTTTGGGTTGTGAGCCTATTTTAAGGGCTGAGCTGTCCCTCCAGCCATTTCTTTCCAAAATGCCCTTCCTGAAATGCAAAGAGACCCTGCAGCTAACAACTCACCATAGGTGAAATACTGAACCTCAGGTGGGAGTGTGACTTCACTCAGGTCACTCTCTTGTACGTGGTTGTCCACATACTGCTGTGCTTTGGTTGCCTGCAGGAAGGCTAGGAACCGGGCCGTGAACGCAGCAATGAAGATGGAGAGCATGCCGAAATCAAGCACGTTCCACAGCTGCACGATGTACTCCCGAGGGCCTTCCAGCCAGAGCTCCTTGCACTCAGACCACATCATCCCTGCACAAGAAACCAGAGGCTGAGCCAATACTCTGTCCACAACCAGGAAAGGTGAAACTCCAGCACCTTCTGTGTGGAAGGACGCTGTGAGGCCCTGTTTGTAGCTGAAAGGAAGCTTCTGCTCAGGGGCTGATAGACTCCAGCATGTCAGAGTTTAAAGAAATACACATGACACCAGGATCGCTGCTCATACGTGTACAGATGACACAGAATGGGGGACAGGAAAGAAGCAAAGGGAAGTGCCAGTCCAGGGCTTTGTTCCATGAGGTTTTGGAGGAGCAGCGAGAAGGGAGTCTAGGAAATCAAAGATCACAGCAATGTAGAGGTACAAGTAAGGCTGGAAATGGAAAATGCACTGCAGACATTTAACAAGAACTGTGCCCTGTTACCCAGGAGCCCACCCTCCTGTAACTCCCTGCCTACAGGGGAGGCCAGAAAGGATCCAATTCTAGAAGAAACTCATTTGAGTAAAAAAAAAAAAAAATGAAGCATTCAGTTTAACAAATTATCCTGACTATGTACACATGGATCGGACACCTTTTGGTAAAATGATATGTCATTTACAGATGCGTTGGGTTACATTAATAGCCATGGTAGAGTGTGTGCACCTGAGGACCACAGCTGGTTGAGGCCATGAGGTAACTGAGTTAAGAACTGGCCTCCTCACTCAGAACAAGAGCATACAGGTGGGGGCAGAACACAGAACCACTCTGGGAGAGAAATCAATGCACAGGGTGTTCCATTTCCTGGGATGGAGCAGAAATTTTTTTCCCCCTCACACTACAAATTTTCCTTTTAACACAGCTACTCCAAATGAGTTATCAGAAGTTAAATAACAAACATCCTAAAAGTGGGAACACTCCCAAAATCCCTGAAACAAAACAAATGTATATCAAAGCTTCTTTAGTCACAAGTTTTTCAATTAAATACTTACGCCTATGTTAGCAATTTGGTGTCACCATATACCTTTCTGCATTGTCCACTATTGAATCATTCAGTTATTTTCTAATTTAGCTGATGTTTAATGGTGATGCCCTCATCATATATAGCATAACAGTTTTAGAACAAAATGGCAATCATTTCAGTAACTATGTTTTTAAAACAGAAATTAGGGAACTTAAAAGGCTTACCAAGAACCCAGACCATAATTAGCATTTCCGTCCACGTGAACTGGGTGGTCTTCACCCTGAAGATCTGCTTGGGATAGTCAATAACAGTGATGTTTGGCAGTGTGGTGATACCCTCAAATCTGTCTGAGGCATTGAACACAAGCAGACCCAGAAAGATGATGAAGGAGGCAGCGTGCGCCACGAACTTCATGAAAGGGCTTCGAAGAATTTTCCCCAGCTGTAATAGGACAACACAGAGAGGAAGAGGGTGATATGAGGGAGGGGGAGATTGGAAGGAGGGGGAGATAGGAGGGAGAGGGAGGGGGAAATAAGGGGGAGAGGGAGGTGGTAGAGGAGGAAATGGGGGAGGGAAAGACAAGAGGGAGATAGAGATGCTCTAGAAAATTTGGCTTCTACTTGCAACCATCACTATACAGAATAAAAATGAGTAAATGAAGGAAGTTGGAAAACTTTCTGTTGGCTTCAGAAGAGCTATTCAGGCTCGTCCAACCTTTGCATAGTTATGAATATTGCCTAACACATGTGTAGACATCAAGTCACAATGTCAGAAGGCTGGACTCCCTTGACTGGTATGCACTGTGAAAATTATTCTTTTTAAGGGGAAATTTCCCCCTAAAAAATAATGTCAAGTCTTGGAAATTCAGTTTCTAAATGTCTCCTCCTTTGTAAACTCTGCCACTCTTCTGCAAACTCCAGTATGGGGGGGGGGGTAGTTCTTACTCTTATTTTTGCATGGAAAAACTACTGCAAAGTCAAAATTCTTAGCCTGGAAAGGACACCAGTAGATTAACATAAGGCATTAAAAGTGGTTTTTTTTTTTTTTTTTTTTTTTTTTTTTGAGACAATTCTGTGTACCCTTGGCTCTCCTGGAACTTGCTTTGCAGACAGGGTGGCCTTGAACTCACAGAGATCCACCTGCCTCTGCCTCCTGAGTGCTGGGATTAAAGGCATGTGCTACCACTGTCTGGTACATTAAAAACTTTTTGAAGAGTAAAATGATTACTACACAGAGCCAGGCAGTAGTGGCACATGTCTTTAATCCCAGCACTCAGGAGGCAGAGGCAGGCAGATCTCTGTGAGTTAGAGGCCAACCTGGTCTACAGAGCAAGTTCCATGACAGTCTCCAAAACAATACAGAGAAACCCTGTCTTGCAACCCCTCCAAAAAATTACTACACTGTAAATAAATTTTAGTTCTCACTTCCAAATAATCCAGAATCATCATGCCATAATCATATTTTAAAAGGAAGAAAATATAAGAATCAAGATAAATATCTTATTAATTACTACCTATATAACAGGGAAATACAAAATAACTAGAACTTCCAAGTAAGGTAGCTTGATTAAAAATAATAGAGTTTTGAAAATTATACATATAAGAAAGACATTTTTAATGGCTATCTTACAATTATGTGAAGGTGGTTCCTTAAAATATCCTGTGACACACTGTCCTTAAAATTCCCTCATTCTAACAGAAAATGAGAAGCAATTCCTCTTGTCCCCAGGGCATCCACAGTCATCCAAGGATGAGGCACATTGGACATATTTGTCAAGTTTGTTCTCTATTCTGCACACTCTGAGCCTGGTTTTTAACTCACTCTGTGACCTTAGAAACAGATTTGGTTCACATTTGTAAGACTAACTTCAAAGGAATGTCCAGAACCTTAATCTACTATCAACAAATGACCAAAGAATGTTAAGTATTTCTGAATTTGAGCATGTATGCACACAGTTGTTACATTTCCATACCAGACATAGAAAAATAAGCAACAATACAACCACACATCTTGGAGCTGAGACAGCTATAGAGGGTGTGTTTAACAACACTGCCAAGTCACATGTAATTTTTGGGAGTTGCCAAAACTGTTTTCCTTAAAGAGTGACTTTTGAAACTTTAAATGAGATGAAAATAAAAAGCATACCCATCTTTCAAATGTGGAGGTTTTGTTTGTTTGTTCACAGTATTGGAGCCAGGGCTCATGCACACTAGGCAAATATCTAATGATGAATTTTGTCCCAACCTAAGACCCCCTCACCCAGGTCTGTGTGCAGAGGCTGGAGGTCAGAATCAAGTGCCATTCTTCTGGGGCTGTCCACCTTGGTTTTGAACCTAGAGTTCACCAGTTAGCTAGACTGGCTGGCTAGCAAGTCCAGGAACTTTCCACCTGCAGCTCTCCAGCACTTTGATGGAAGACACATGCTATCACCTCTAGCTTTGTATGAGGATAGTGGGGATGGAACTTGGGTATCCATGCTTACAAGGCAAACTCTTTATCAGCTAAGGTTTCCCCAGCTCCAGAATTTTCTAGTTGTCTCTCCACTCTGTGTAATAAGCACAGCCATGCATGGGCTCTGTGTATGGCTAAGTTTCCAGCTTTATTTTCTTATGACAAAACATCACTACTCAGAGAGCTGTTATTTTATAAGTGGTAAAAATGTTCATCCCAAAATTCCCACTGCAGCACTAACCTGCTGTAATTGACTGAGACACCTAAAGACAGACTCTCCAGTACCAGAACTTTGGGATTCATTTCCTCCAGAAAAGGGAAACTGGTTGGGTTATAATTTTCTGCTGACTGCAGGCTCTTACGTGTTTTATTTTCTAGTCTTTAGTGTTTATGTATTTAAAGAATTGTACAGTAGCTCCTCCATGGTACATAACAAAGAATCCATCAGTCATCAAACTTGCTCAAAATGACAAACGTTCTACCTTTTATTGTATGGGGCAGCTCAACAAGGAAATGAGACAGATAAGGGAGTTTTCACACACCGGGAGGAGGCTGCTTAGCCATGAGGCAATGCTAGCCTTACAGGGTCATTTATAAGTGATCTTGACTAATTTTGCCTGAAACAGATTCTGATTTAAATAAAATTAGACTTGAGAATATAAATGCGAGATTAAAGGATCTGAGGGCAGCTCCTTCTCCAGGAAGTGCCTCTTATTACCAGAATGCAGATTCTGTTAGCATGATTCACATGTTCTCTATACATCTTGTGTAGGAGATTTCTTAATCACAACCAAATTAGCTCCTCTTGGGAAGGTTGAGAGGAGAAAGGCATCAAAGTGAACCAAGCAAAATCAAGCAGTTAGAAAAAAATGAAAGCACCCTCAGTCCAAGTCTACTCATGTTGCAACTTTCCAGAAGAAGAAAGGACTTGAGGACCAGCCATGGGCATGATTGAAGGTTAAATGGTACCTCTGATACCCCCCCCCCCCCCCCCCCCCCCGGTTTCTAATGGGTTCAGATGAATGCACTGAAAACAGCTGTTTTGCGCTCTCACTGAATACAGCGGTCTACTTCCGGTCCCCTCTTCCAGCCAGCCCCACCCACGTTCTCCTTACTATGCTGTCAAGTAACTGCACAAATGCTTCTTCTCTCCAGCCACTTATTGCTTCCTGTCTACCACGGGGATTTGACCCTAAAACCGTTACTTATGCCTTCAGCTTTTGCACTTTCCCAACAGCGATACACATTGCACCCAGCACAGAAGGGAGACGGAGCTAGTACCCTGCTACAAGGTGCAATCCAATAGCCGATAGCAAGGAACGGAAGGCCCAAGGCCACGACCAACACGACCAGGCACTTGATAGCGATGGTCTGCTCCCGGAGGCCAGAGAGGTTCTCATACCAGATGGTCAAAAGCTGTTGTTGGCAGTTGGGGTGAGCCACAAACTGTTGGGAGTAGAGTGAGAGAAAGGTTAGCCTTCCCCTGTCCACAGTGGAACATCCCAATTCACTCTTTTCCAGAACACAGCCTGCCAAAGCCTCTTGTGTCTTAGTCAAACCTGCTTCCCGTGAGAACTAAGGTGGGAAACCAAAGGAGAAAGCTGATGCTGTCCTTACTCATAGTCCTTCCTGGTAGCTGACTCCTCTCTGGCAACGGGTGACATTGGCTTTCTTTTGTGAAAGTGCCCCCTCCATGCTACTTGTCAGCTCTCTTGCATTCATTTCAAAATGGAAAAGGGAGACAGTTGTTGACTAGAAGTAAGAAAAAGGTTACTAAATTTCTGAGTTGCTCCTAAAAAATGCACGGAAGATACATAAACGATGAAGGTTTGAGCCTCTGTACTGTGGCCAAATATGAAAAGAGCTGCAGAGTTGTTACCCAGCTAGCAGATACCAAGCAGGGCTCACTCTAGCACCACCCTTAACCACTGAGCTACCTCCCCAGCCCTGTTTTTGTTTCTTAAACCTCGTCCATTTAATTTCTATATACTTATATCTTGACTCTAACACATTTTTAATGTTCTCAAAAAAGGGTCTCAGACTGTATTTCAGGCAGACCTAGCAGCGATTTCTTTCTTTGTTGGATGACTTATTGTGAAAACATTGTTGCTTTGGGACAAATACTGTGTCTTCAAATTCACATTTTGAACTCCTTACTCTCAACTACTGCCCTTGCGAGGCAGGGCTTCAGGGAAGATTGGGGCTTGGGGAGAGAGTACATGAAATCATGAGATTTGTGTCTATGTATAACAGACACTCCCCCCGCCCAAACACACACAAGGCTCTGTTTTTGCCACATGAATTACAAAGAGAAGTGAGTACTTTGCAACTCAATGGGTGGCCCTGCTGCCATCTTAACCTCAAATTCCCAGCCTTGTGCTATAAGGAATGAGTTCCTGTTGTCTATAAATCACACTAGTTATGGTGCCTTGTTTTAGCTCCAAAACTGCCTAAGAAATACCTGACTGAAGGTCCTTTCTGATTAGCCCACTATTGCTAGCTGCTAGGGGTATGTTAGGTCTTCTTTCCGAACCGTTTACTTACTGTCTTCCTCTCTCTTCTCCTCTCCATTTTTCTTTTAAGATGGTGTCTCACTCACTATGAGCCTAACTTCTCTTGAAATTGGGATCCTGCTTCAAGGCTCTTGAATACTGAGATTAAAGATGCATGCCACCACATCTGTACAGTTCACAATCTCAAAACTGTCTCACACGCTAACATAGTCATTAAGTGACCTCTCGGGAAATGCTGCAGACACAGTCAGGACTGAAGAATTCCCAGGTCTGTGTTCCCTTGGATTCCGAGACAGCCCCAAAGCTCCACTTTTGCCCTTTGCTATATTTAGACTTTCTTTTCTGTTTCACCCCTTCCTCTGCAGCTCCTAAATGTCTATCCTGTTTATTTATTCACTCTTCAGAATGCTTTATACACTCACTATCAGCCAGCTACTGCATTGGACATTTAGTATAAAATTAAAATAGGAGAGTCATCTGGTACTGATGGTGCACACCTTTAATCCCAGCACTAAGTTGACAAAGACAGGTCGATCTTTGTGAGTTCAAGGCCAGTCTGGTCTACATACCAAGTTCCAAGACAGACTCCAAAGCTACAGAGAAATACTGTCTCGAAAAACCAGAGAGAGAGAGAGAGAGAGAGAGAGAGAGAGAGAGAGAGAGAGAGAGGAGTGGGTGTGGGGGAGAGGGAGATGGAATGGGAGGATAGGAGGAAACTGAAGAAACTGCAGTCAGGATGTAAAATAAATAAATAAAATTAACAGAAAAAATTAGAATTGATATTATTTTAAACCATGAGCAGACATTTCTTCAGAGCACATGGCAGGCTTTTGCAGAATTTTTGTTTGTGCAAAGATGTGTTGCATTTGTTTAATTATGTTGCTATATTACTTTGCCTGCCTAAGGCACCTGATTGGTCTAGTGAAAAGCTGAATGACCAATAGTAAGGGAGGAAGTATAGGTGGAACTCCCCAGCAGGGAGAGTAAGTAGGGGGAGCAATTTAGGATCGAGAAAGAAAGAAAAGGAGACACCAGGGAGATGCCAGGGGCCAGTCAGACACAGAAGAAGCAGGAAAATGGGTCATACAGAATGAAAAAAGGAAAAAGCCCTGAGGCAAAATGTAGAGGAATCAAAACAAGCCAGATTAAGTTAAAAGAGCTAGTGGGACAAGCCTAAGCTAAGTTGAGCATTCATAATTAAGAATAAGTCTCTGTGTCTTTATTTGGTAGCTACTAGGTAGCCCAAAGAAAATTCCAACTATAGCAGGCTATCAATAAATGCAATGTAAGCCATTTTAATAAAACCAAACTCCACGTCTTTATCAAGACAATAAGTTGGAACAAAACTGTCTTAGTAGAAACATCTCAGTACCTAAGAGGTCCGTGTTTGTGAGACAAGATGCTGCACGGATCCAAGCCCTCTGGAGACCCCAGCCATCCAAGCTAAGGACAAGGAGATGGGCACACCAAGAAGCCACAGGGTGAGCATTGAGTACCACTGTATTGATTACTGTTTGGGGGAGTCAAGCATGTATTTTCTGGGGCAACCTAAAAGTTTCTATAAGGCACAGAGTAACCACACTGCTACCAGACAAAAGCACTGTTTCCATCTGGGTGGATGAACTCGCTTCCCTCTAGGGAGCATCTGCTTGCTGTGGTCTGAGAGCATCTCCTTTAGAATTCTTGTCTTGTCATGTGACATTCTGAAGAGGTGAGAGAGGTAAGGGCTAGAGGAGGTGGTGAGAGCTTCCAGTACCGCCCATCTGTAGTTTCAGCTAGTTACAAGACTGGAGGCAGAGGATCACTTGAGTCCAGGAGTTCAAGACTGGTCTGGGTAACTCAGCAAGATCCTGTGCTTAAAAATAGCAATCCAACTAAGAGGTGGCACAGCCATTGCTGAAGGATAAAGACCCCATTCTTCCTCCACAGAGGACACCGCTAACGCTTCTGGAGGGTACGGCCCTGCCTGCCAGTACCTTCATCTTGGGCTTTCCACCCCAGAACTGAAAAAACACATTCTGTTTTGTAATCCACCCTGACTCAGTTATTGTCACAGCAGAACAAATGAACCAAGACACTGCTTTCCTTACAGTCTAAACTGTACCAAAAAAAAAAAAATTGTATTATTACTATTGTCTCTGCATGTGTGTGTGATCAGGAGGTTGCCATGGAGATAAGGTGAGGGTCAGAAGACAACCTGTGGGGTCTATTCCAGGATTTGCAGTGTTTTAGTTAGGGTTTTTATTGTTGTGATGATGACCATAAATGAAAGCAACTTATAACTCTCAGACAACCCTCCATCACGAACGAAGGGCAGGAACTCAAGGCAGGCACCAAGAGGCAGAAGCTGAAGCAGAAACCGTGGAGGGGTGCTGCTTAGCCGCTTGCTGCTCCCTGGCTTGCCTAAGTTGTTTTTTTTTTTTTTAAATATATAACCTAGGGCCATCCTCCTAGGGGTGTTATTGCCCATAATGGGCTGGGCCCTCCCTTATCCCCATAGACTTGCCTACAGGCAACATGATGGCGACATTTCCTCAACTACGGTTCTTCTTCCCAGATAACTATAGCTTGTGTCAAGTTGACACACCAATCAGGGCATGGGGGTTGAACTCTGGTGGCCAAGCTCTTCCAGCAAACACTTTTCCTCACTGAGCCATCCCACCAGCCTGCTTTTGTTTGTTTTGATTTTGAGACAGGGTCTCAGTCTGTAGCCCAAGCTGGTCCAGAGCAAAAAGCAGTCCTCCTGCATCAGTCTCCCTCAAGCCAGAATTATAGGTCTGAGCAGCTCCCAACACTTGAAGACAGAAATACTGTTTGGTTTTGGACTTTTCCTTCCCACTTCTCCCAACAAGGCCATCTGTAAATCCAAGGAAGTGCACCAGGGCCCTAATCACCCTTTCCACATGGTGTGTGTGAGATGATCCACAACCACACTTGTGGCCGGCACCGCATGCTGCCAATACTCACTATATGTTAAAACCTAACATTTTACCTGTTATAAAATTGACCTATTTCCTGTCAATAGGATCACAGCCTATGCTCTTCTTGAGATGTATAATACATCCATTTAAAAGCCAAACAAATAGATTTTCCTCAACAATTTAAAACTTCTAATACAAATACATAAGACACATTTTAAAAATAAAACCAATACAATATTAGCAAGTGAGAGCAAAAAAAAAAAAAAAAAAAAAAAAAAAAAAAAAAAAACCCTAACCCATCAGGAGATGCCTTTGTTTTTTCTTTTCACAACTTCAAAATATGACAGTGCCCTTTAGCTCTTAAACCACTCTATTTCCTGGAAAAATATCCTCATGATACCACACTATCATAGCTGGCTGCACCAGATTTGTACATTTTTTTTCCAACTGCAGCGGACCAGCAAATTGAAGTCATTACAAAAATAATACCCAGATTTGAGGTTTTCTGATTCGAAAAGAAAATGCTTGACACATAAGAACATTTCAATCTTTCAATGGAGCAAAACTATCACAGCGTTACAAAACACACACACACACACACACACACAAAGAGAGAGAGAGAGAAAGAGAAAGAGAAAGAGAGAGAGAGATGACTAATAAAATGTAAGCTGAACCACCAACCAGGGCAGGAGATGGAAAAAAATAGGCTTATAGTTAAAAATTATTATGGTATACTATCCTTTTCAACTGTCCTCAAACAGGTTTACTGTTGTGCAAGCTCCCCCCCACCCCGGGGGAGCTTCTGCTCTTGTCTTAATGACATTGTTATGTTAGTCACATGTACATCCCCCATTCTCCCTCTGAACCGCTCAGGTCTGAGGCCTCTTACACTTTCTGAAGAGAAGCACACCCGTGGATAACTGAATGTGTCCGTATTGCTGCAGGTCTAATTTTCAGATTACTTTTCTGTTAAGGATGAAATTGGAGCACTGGGGGAGAACTCGGGAAATTATTTTTCTCTAGAGCCTAGTTTTACAGACCAAATAGCTTACCATATCCTGTAAACAAATCTCCTATAATAAACAGTGCTCACCGTGACGCAGGTGTGTTGGGGACGGGGACAGGCCCTGCTTTCATGGCATGGATAATAGAGAGGTATGACCAGAGTTAGAATGCAAGGGAGACAATCCACTTGAAGGCAGTAAAGACACAATTAAGTTACTGATTTCATCAACACCACCAAGTACTGTAACTATTCTTTGAGAGCAGGAAAATGGACTTATATATTAGCATTTATTTATTTTGGCAGAGGGTTAAAACAGGTTTCCATATGGACCCCAGGCTGGCCTGGGGTTAGTGGTCCTCCTATCTCAGCCTTGTGAAGCACAGTCATGTGCCACAGCTAGCCGATATTTATTACCACAGGGTTTAAAATTTTATTGAAACTGTTTTTACATTTATGCATTTTATGTGTGTGTGTGTGTGTGTGTGTTTTGCCTTCATATGCACCATGTGCATGCCAACAGATGGTTGTGAACCATCATGTAGGTGCTGAGAACTAAAACCACATCCTCTGCAAGAACAGCATACTCTCTTAACCATGGAGGAATCTCTCCAGCCCCTTTCTTTCAGATTTTGTTGATGCACAGAAGTTTCAAACAATATGCTGTCAAGCTATTTGTAATTTTGTTTTAAGGCTTACTTTAAAACAATTTTTATATCTATAAAGGTGTTTTTACATATATGTATGTACATTACATATGTGCCTAGTGCCCACAGTGGCCAGAAGACAGTGTTGGATTCCCTGGAACGGGACTTATGAATGGTTGTGAGCCACCATGTCAATAAGGGTAACCAAACCTGGGACTTCTGCAAGAGCAGCGAGTGCCCTTAACCTCTGAGTCATCGCTCCAGCACCTCCAGATTTCTAATATAAATATATCAAAAAGTCCTTTCCTAATAAATAAACATTAAAGTCATAGTCATATATGTTGATTGGTTACAAATTCATTGTTAACAATACCACACACATTGCTTGTTTGCTTAAAAAATGTTTAAAATTAAGTAAGGTGTTCACTTTGCAAGGTGGGTTGGCTAACATGAGCTGTTTCTGCTAATATGACACTTTCAATGGAATGATAAAAAGCTTGTGACAACTGAAATCAATTTTCCCCCTCTCAGGTGCCAAACAGAAGAGATTCATATTACAAAATCCGTGACTTTGTCTGGACACTTTTCTAAAAATGGCTTGCCATCAATCTTGTTTAAAAGTACCTTCCCCAAAACATAAGGAAAACCTCCCAGGATGAACACTCTAAGGAGGGATTTAATTATCTTAGAATGGATCTGTTCCTTTAAAAGTTGTTTTCTTTCCATTTCTAGTGAAAATAAATCTTCACATCATTAATGACTGACCCAAATCCCATGGATATGACACAAAAAATCCTTGTGTTGTGGTGTATGTGTGTGTGTGTGTGTGAAAGAGAGAGAGAGAGAAGGAGAGAGAGAGAGGAAGAGACACAGAGAGAAAAACAGAGAGTGAGATAGACAGACAGATAGACAGACTGACGGACCAGAGCCTAGTCCACAGCCAGTCAAGAGCCCAAGGTGACATCTGGACTTGACCCTGGAAGCTCAGGTCTACTTCATGAGAACACACCACAGAAAGAACAGAAGCCACCACTGTTCACTGATGACCAGATCATACTCTAGATACAACCCTCTTAAACTGCTGCTTTGTCAGCTTCTATCTTTTATTATTAAAGATTTAGCGTGTGTGTGTGTGTCCAGCATTAGATCCCCTGGATCTGGAGTTACATATAGTTGTGGGGTGCTCAACATGGTTGTTAGGAACCAAGCTTGAGTCATCTGGAAGAGCAGTACATGTTCCTGACCACTAAGCCCTCGCCAGTCCCTGCCAGCTTCTCTTAAGTACAAAAAAAAAAAAAAAAAAAAAAAAACCAAAACCAAACAAACAAAAACAAAACAAAACAAAAACCTCTCTGTTATATAACATACTTACATTATCCAATTCTAGAAACTGAGCCTTCCACCACATGAGATACTTTGACTACTGTTTTCATGAATTGTTTAATAGCTCAATGCAAACTAGAAAATGAAAACACAAAAGTTTTTCTGTAGTAACCATAATGAAATTAACTGTAGTCTTTTTTTATGGCTGACATGACTACCTCCGTATCTGTGTTACATCAGAAACATCACTACTATAGTTCCCTACTATAGTAGAACCTTATTATCTATCTTACCTGGTTTATAGGTAAAATAAATAACAGGATCAACATGGAATTACATATATTATGGTATCTTACAAATGCATAAAGTAGCAGCATTATCATCATTCTATTTTTAATTTGTTTTGTTTCTGAGACTGTGTCTCATGTAGCCCAGAGTGGACCCAGACTTGCTGGGTAGCTGAGACTGGCTTTGAACTCATGAGTCTGCTGCCTCTACTTTCCAAATGCTGGGATTAGAAATGTGTGCCACCATGCTACTATTATTACAGACAATGAAATTCAGTTTGTGGAGTGCTTGGTTTATCCTAATCCATTGAAATTACACTAAAACTCAGAGGCACATAAAAGATAGAATCCTCTTATATGAGGAAACTGAAATGCTATCAAGAAGTCCTGGATCCTATAATGGGTAACAGCTGGGAAGGGTCAGGACCTGAAGACATTTATTTACTGCGATACCCCCTCAATCCTTCCATCTGTTCTGAGTTCTTTCCAAGTGTTCCTTTGGATTGCATAGACGTCACCACTTGACGTCTATGGATGACTGGCTCACTCACCTTTTTTACTTCATACTTAATGGCAAGTTTGACACGACTCAGTGAAGCCTTGTGCCTGTGTGTCTCCAGGCCTTCTGCTGACTCCAGATCTCCATTCAGAATGGCTTCCACCTCCTCGGAGTCTCGACACAGGTCCAGCACGCCCACTACAAAGTCTTTGCATTGCATGGAGAGCTTCCTGTAGTCATTCTAAAATAAGAGGTTTGGTATTTAATGTCAAGAATTCCTCTAATTCAACAGCAAGTGCTTGGGAATGGGGGGGGGTGGTTAAAGAAGTCCCTGCCTGGGCAGGATAGGCAGCCCCTATCTGGATACAAGGCTGGTTAAGGCTGATATAGTTGTATTTCCCTGTCCTGGCTGAGTTTCCTTCTGCACAGCTACATGAGAGCTCTGAAAATTACATGGTCATGATCTTACCTACATGTGGAATCTTAAAAAGTAAACTCACAGAAACAAAGAATAGAATGGTGCTAAGCAAGAGGCCAGGAGGTAGAATTGGTCAAAGGGACGATATGCTAATTGGTTTGATTTAACCATTCATCATTGTATACATGTATCAGCACACTATATGGTATACCCAAATACATTCAATTGGTTTTTTTGTTTTGTTTTGTTTTGTTTTTGTTTTTGTCAATTTCAGATTTTAGCTGGGCTGTATCTTTTAGTACAGGGCTTGCCTGATACGCATTTAGCGCTGAGATAGGGTCTCACTATTAGATTATACTGGCTTGGAACTCACTGTGTAGCCACAGCTGGCCTTAAATTATAAATCTTCCTGGTTCTATCTATCCAGTACTGTGATTGCAGTTGTAAACCACCACATCAGCTTTTAAAACTAAAACTTCTCCAAAAAATCCAGAGATAAGTGCTTATATAGGAGGACTACCATGGATTTGAGGCAAGCTTGGGCTCTGTAGTGAATTTGAGGTCAGTCTAGGCTACTGTGTAAGGGTCCATCTCAAAAAAAAAAAAAAAAAAAAAAAAAAAACCAGAAAGACAAAAAACAAAACATACAAACAAAAAAAACCAACCAACAAACAAAACCAAACCTCCCAAAACAAAATTAGCTCCAAAACAGAACTCCCCAAAACAAAATATGGTATGCATGCAAGTCATTGGTATGTATTAAAAAAATAACTAAAGTATAATTGCACATCTTAATGCCAAAATCAGTCCTGTTGCCTCAGGATTTCAGCTCCAGAGAGCATGGAAGCTAGCATTCACAGGACACAGGGGGTCTGTCAATGTGTGGCATGTTTGTAAGTTCATCTGGAACACTGGGATTTTGTCCTTTTCTGTGTTTTGTTTATTTTTCCTTCTCTACCTATTTTTCTTCCTCTTTCATAAAGGTAATTAACTAGACCCAGGGAGGACACTTCTGTTATTTAAAAGTTTGTTTTATGAAGAAAAAAAGAGACATTGGCTAGGTGCCATTGTTTTGACCAAAAGTCAAAACAAGTTTGTCTCTTTGTATAAGCAATAGTTATTTTGAAGCTAAAGCAGGGACACTTCCATAATGGAAACTTTCTAAAGTGGCAGATTGATGCAAAAAAAGTGGTCATTATGAAAATGTGCCCAGTTTCTTATCCATGGCCTTTCAGGAAACATTGCTTGTCAAAGATAGTTCTGATATCAACAGTATCAGTGGTACAAAGAACCTGCCAGAAATGCAAGTAGGTCCTGCCCTAAAGTAAAAACTAAGGAAGGACCCAGCAATCTGGTACAAGTCAGAGTTTGCAGATGACTGATGCTAACTGGACAGGAGGCGGGGCCCAATAGAGAGCCATCTTTCTGGTTCAGCTGAAGGTCATGTTACTGTTCCTTGCAGAAATGGAAGGAGAGAAATGGCTGATTATATGGAATTGGATTCTCCAGGGTTACAGAATATCAATACCTGAGAGAAAAGTTTCCAGGCCACTGGAACTAACACTTTGCTAAAAATAATCTGTGAATCTTTAATTCCATTTGCATATTTATTTGGTGTGATGGATAGCTGGCAGCCTCCCTGTTACCTTCTGAATGGAGCTCTATTTTTAGCCCATTGCATCCAGTTAAGGTACCACTGGCCATCTTCTGGGGAAGTGCCTCACTTTTGGAAACCCCATTTCTACCTTGGTGACTTTGACTAAAATTTAGGATATAGAGAAAATTAAACCAGACACTCTATAATTCCAGCATTTAAGAAGTGGGGGCAGAAGAATGGTAAGTTGGAGATTAGTCTGGGCTATACAGTCAGACACTGTCAGAAAAAACTTAAAAGTTAGCCATATAATAACTCAAATGATGCATCGAGGAAGTAGAATTCCTCATTTTGATGTGTTCTCAGATCCTGTGTCTTGATAAAGAAATGATGCTTCACACAGCAGAATTTCTAGGCTTCCAAAACATCATATTTCAGGAAGACACGAAGAATCCAATTTTCTTCCCTTAAATAATTTGGTTTGGTAGGCAAAAGCCACACCACCAACTAAAATAAACAAGAAGAGAGAAGCTGTTTAAAGGGTACACAGACTGGAATAGTTTCCACTTCAATTATCAGTAAATTCAGACAAAGAACATAACAGTTAATGCTTATTCCCTCATAAGGGAAAAGATAAAACAAATAAAATCCCAGTCTCCATTCAAGCTGGGACCATTAACATGATAGTATTAATAAAACACAAAGCTTCTGATTCCTATGCAAAGTGGGTGTCAGTTAAACATCCATCTGCCTCCCATTCCTGAAAGCTAATGCAATATTTTATTATAGCTTCCAGGAGGATTACGTCCACGATGTTTCCATATACAGCTCCTTTCTTAGCACAGTGTTGTAACTGGAGTTTCCTACTGCCAGTTGGTTGAGTGTTCTGTAGAATTCCGTGTAACAGAGGTTGTCAGAGAGACTTCCCATGCTCTGAACCAAGCTTTGTACTGGTAGACCGGAGGTGCTTCATTACTTCTTAGAGTTAGAACCTCGAAGATGTTCGGTTGAAAGCAATCTGAGTGATGTTTCGTTTCCCATAGCCTGACTGATCAGTCGAGAAAGAAACAAACAAAAGGCTTAGGGACCATACAGGCAGTAAGGAAAATGGCTTGTTTGTACAGATTAAACTTCCACTGACTGCTGAAAGATGTCTATTATACTGAAAGCAACCAGAGGAACTGATAATGATGATTTTTTTAAAACAGGATTTTATTCTGTTGCCCAAGATAGCTTCCAACTCTCTCGGCTCCAGGTCTCCTCTCGTTTTCACTTTCCTTAGCCACTTAGACTAAAGGCACGTGCCACCTCACCTGGCTACTTCAGTCATGGTGTTTAGATCTACCCAGAGTGCTCAGGCAAAGATGGAGAACTCTGGCCAATGATACCCTTTTCCCCCATTGTTAAAGTCTGCACTGTCTTCCAGGCCTCCCTGGGCTCCTCCCTGCCTTGTACAGCCTCACAACCCAGATCACACTGAAACAGAGACACCAAACTGCTCTCACGTTAGTTTTGTTGATTCAAATTCATGGTTCTTTCCCAGCACCATGGTCCTCTTTACAAAGTCAGGTGACCAGAACATGGACGAAAAACTCAAGGACCGTAAGGCTGAGCAATGAGGTCCAGTTTCATCCCAGCCTCTCTACACTCTTAATAACATATATGGTTTAATCTCCGTTCGGATCATGTACCAACTGGGTAATGTACTTGGATTTCCTCAACCTTTTCCGTAAATGGAATCCTACCTTCTGTTTGTCCTGTGAGGACTGAACGCCCAGCGCATGCTCAGAGTGCATTAGGAAGCTTATGTGCTTCAGTGTCAGAAGGCATGTTATTTTGGACATAAAGCCCAAGCTTGGGGGTGGAGAGATGGCCAGTGGTTTAGAGCACTGGCTGTTCTTCCAGGGGGCCTGAGCTTGGTTTCCAGCCCTTAAATGGCAGCCTATAACCATGTGTAACTCTAGTTCCAGGGGACCTCACACTCTCCTCTGGCCTCCAAGGGCACCAGACACACATGTGGTGCACACACATAAATGCACAGGTGACACATACACATACAAAAAAAATCTTAATAAATAAAATCTGGGCCAGGGATCCAAGGTGCCCAGACAAGTTTAGTCAGTATGATCTTGACCTCAGTTTTCCCACTTGTATATTGGGAGGTCTGTGTGATTCCCAGAGTCTATTCCTGCTATAAACAGCCTTCTAACTTTGGGTCATGTTTGTTTTCCCTTTTCCTTCTAACTCTACTGTGGTAAGAATTGAATCTTCTTTCTACTTTGGAAGAAAAGCAGAGGCACAGGGAGGGAAGATAGCTTTGTGTCCTTCCCTCCTTCCTTTCTTCCCTCCCTCCCTCCCTGCCAGAAAAGTCCATCACCAGTTCAATTAGAATCTGGAAATTTCCATTTGTGTTCTTGTATCTTAATAAACCACAGGCCTCCTTGCCATTGATGGTTAGACTTGAGTCTCCGCTTTTCGGAACAGCTATAGACATCATTTTGCACATCCACACTGCCACTTTGATAACATGTCACTGGCTGTCCTCCACCAATTCCTCTAAATGTATGACCTTGAGTGCCCAGGCTCCTGAGACAGTGACCTTCACATGTCCTCTGTACTCCCCGAGGGACTGTGGAGTGTGCAGAGGGTGAGAAAGTTTGCCTTCCAGGTCATCGCTAAGATGCTGGAACAGGTGTCTAAAAGGGGAAAAGATCCCCATGCTTCACCAGGGAGCAGCACACTGTCTGTCTCTTCCTTTTCAGGCCAGGACTCTGAGCTGACAGTCCCTCTGGGAAGGAATATAGTGAACAGCACAGAACAGGGCAAATTAGGTTACCTGCTTTCCTCAGGAACCAGCTTCCCTGGACCCATCATTCCTGTCAGAGCACAGCGGGGCTAGATTAGGGTTTTGACTGTCTACAGCCCTGACAGACGGATAGACGGAGTGCGGGGGTGAGGGTAAAGGGAAGATGGGATAAGAAAGAACCAAAAAAGATGGCCAGGGATGGGGAAGAAAAGCATGTGGCGAGGCAGAGTGACTACTCCAGAGACTGACTCCCGAGGAGCTGCCCTGTCCTGGCTCACAGAGGGCTCTGCCACTCCCAGGCTCACAGTGTAAGCTGGACCAGGGGCATCTGAGACACAGATGGCTTTGCACATCCTTGGCTATGGTACCTAACTGGGATTGTGCCCTCTCCTCTTTGGCGTTTTTACCTGTGGTATTTTCCCACCTCCGGGAGGTTCTCAGACATGACCCTTTGAATCAGAGTAAAGGAGATTCTAATCTGAGCATTACTAACGTGGACTTACATGGCTTCAGGGGGAAACTATGAATAACAAATTCTCTTCCATTGCTCCACCAAGGCGACTTCTCTAAGGGGAACTGCAAACATCACCATCTTTAGTAAATTATTAAAACATAATCCTAGAAAATATTTCCTTTTATGGAAGTTCTCTTGCAGAGTTTCAACATATATCAAATAAAGAACACAAGACAAGTTTCTCTGACATTTGAAGTGTCAAATAAGCAAATTTAGAATTATGCTTTTATGACTATCTCCAAAATGTTTGGAAGTATTTTTCCAAGATACTTTTCTATTCTCTTTGATAAATTTGAAGCTTAAATTTGCTCTACCTATGATCTGTCTAAAAAGTTTTCAAGCCTGGTATGGTGGTGGGGCATGTCTGTAATCCAAGCACTTGAGAGATGGTGACAGGAGGATCAGAGACCCAAGGTTTCCCTCAGCTACATGGCAAGGTTAAGGCCAGCTTGGGCTACACGAGACCCTGTCTTAAAACTCAGACCTGAAACAAAATCAAATGCATGGTGAATTCAAGGAAATAATTCTTTTCATGTAGTACATTATAGTTGTCCTTACAGGGAGTAGATATTAATCAAGACTTATTTTATTCTTCAATTTTCCTACATTTCCCCAATGATTTTTTTTTAACCACAGAAAAAAGCACTAATAGATTAACAAGATGGTTATACTGAGGCAAGAACTCCAAGACACAGCAAGGGTTGACAAAAGAATTTGTTATAGATTGAAAGTAGACAACCTAACTAGTGCCATTTTCTTGAAACTCTAGAGAAAGCAGGTTTTCCTTAGCTTGAATTATATTGCCATTGTGCTTGGGGGAAAAAACCATTTAACTATGAAAAACAATGTTAAGATGTGAAGGACAAAATAAACACTGATTCTGATACTATTTCTCTATGCTAAAAAGATTAGATGCTGAGGAGCCAGTGCTTTTGACCACTTCCTTACCCGGAGAACAAGAGAGTGGCGATCTGCTGAAGAGAGCTGATGGAGCTTACCTTTGTAAAAAAGTACCCACTTTACTTTAGCTCTAAAGATTTAAAATGCATAGGAAGGGGGCAGCAATGGAATAAAAATTTTAAATGGTCCATCATGAATGGAAAAACCCCGTGAGGAAGCAAACCATTCTGCTGGCCTTTGTGTCTCTGGATTGACTCTATAGTCACAGCTCACCACTCTAAATATGCTCCTGGAATTCAAGGTGAGACATTTGTCCCGTTAGCAAAGCAACTTTAATATCAACAATAACAGAGTTCCAGTGTTATTCTATATTTGCCTTTTGAATTTTGATTCTGGCAGGGGTGCCTAGTCCTGACTTGGCCATACACCACTGTCATCTACAAATGTGTTGAGTAGAAATCATAACCATCCTGGGATACACACAGCCCATGAAGCACATGTTGGACATGGTTACATCTAAAAATATACAGAGGCTTGGGGTCATGAACAGAACTTCAAAGAAACGAACACTATACCCCAGAAAAGAAAGCAGAGCTCTGCCTCACAGTGACATTGTGCAGCCTTCTGACATGGTGACACCATGGGACAGAACACAAAGAGTCTGGAAATGAGGTAGACTTGTAAAATCTCCCTTTCAACAAAGGGGAACACAGAACTTCTGGCTCTGAGTACTTATCCAGGCCACAGAGCAGCCGCCAGCCATCACCACCTTTCTCCTATGCTGTGTTATCTCCAATGTGAGTCTGCTGCAGCATGTCTCATTGAGCAGAGAAAGCCCATCAGAGCAGTGCCTTTCAGTTTAAAACCCACCGCAAAGCAAGACATGCTATAATCTCAGCATTTGGGAGGCTGAAGCTGGGGGATTGCTGTGAGTTCTTGACCACCAAGAGTTATGAAGTATGAGGACAGCCTAGGACCCTGTCTAAACCACAAAGAAACTGGACATGGTACACATTCTTATAAACCCAACATCAGAGAGATTGAAACAGGAGGGTTGCTGTGAGTTTGTGGCCAGCCTGAGCTATAAAGTGAGGATCTACCTTAAGACAAACAGACAAAATCTCAATAGACACGGGGCAGAACTGACTCCGGCACAGCAGGCAGGGGGCTTCCACTGGCCTACCTTGAACTCCTTCTCTATGTTGGCTAGCTTGGCCAGTTCATTGCTGAGTTCCAGGGCTGTGAGCACCGGGTCCTCGCTGGAGAGTGACAAGTATGCAGGGCTGGCCAGCCCCTTGTAAGCGTTGATCCTAGACCTTGAGTGGCTGAAGGCATCAAGCCGCTGTTTCTCCGCACAGTCAGCGCAGCGGCAGAAATAGTCGTGTGGCCGCTCGATGCGTGCGCCCTTGAGCAGCAGCAGGTGCACCACCTCGTACTTATGACAGTGTGCAGCCAGGATGATGGGCGTGATGTCAGGGGAGAAGCGCGTGCCATCCTCATCATAAGCATAGAAGTCGTCGTCCCGCAGTTCCTGCTCGCAAGGGCTAAGTGTCAAGCGCCGGCTTGCTGCAAAGCCTGGGTGGCCGAGGATGGCCTCCACGATGCGCACATAGCCCTTGCTGATGGCTAGCAGCAGCGCATCACCGATACGTGCCAGGTTCTCCTTTTTCAGCAGTAGCTCAGTCACCTCCAGATGTTCATTGCCTACAGCCAGCTGCAGTGCGTTCTGGCCCATGTAGTCCACACAGTTGACATTGAGCGTTTGTGACTCCTCCAGCATCTTGCGCACCACCGGGATGTTGCCGTATTCTGCAGCGTCCAGGAAGCGCTCCTCCTCAGCTGTGAGGCTGGGCCCACGAGCACCAAACATGAAGGCCGGGCCACGCACCGCCTGGCGCCTGCCCTTGTCTCGCATCCCTGCAGTGCGCCACCTCGATGGGCTGCCCTCGGAGGACCTGATCAGTGGGGTGACAAAACAGTGTGGGACTTTGATGTCTATAGCTTTCTCCCCCAGCAAACCCGGCTGCAGACCCGAAGCCAGGGAGTGGTGGGAGAAATTGCTAAAATCAACCACCCCAGACACCCCTCACCTAACACAGGCTGCCTGAGCTTCAGGGAGCAGTCCATGGCCCTTCCCAATTGCAGGTCCAGTTCATTCTGCCTTCAGATCGAAAAATAATGGGATAATTACCCATCCCTGATTAAAAACACAAACAAAAACAAACAAACAAACAAACAAACAAAAAATCCTGCAGCTTCATCCTGGTTCCTGCTGTTAAATAGCTTAGTGACAGAGCACTTGGCCTAGCATGTATGAGGACTTGGATTTGGTCTCTACTACCACAAAAAGAAAAACAATCTTGGAAATAGTGTCTATAGACACTCAGCATCCATGCCCCAGACTGGAGTATTCAATGGAGGCCGATTTTTGTCAAAATTCAGGACAGAATAGCCTTCTCTAGTTATTATACATTCTAAACAGAAATTATACATACAGCCCTATGTTAGGTTGAGTACCATCTTAATAAGGCCTTAGATTTAACATTTTCCCTTAAGGGAAAGCCTTCCCCTCACCCAAGGTTTACTTGCTTGCTTGCTTGTTGTACAGGATTCATCTTTGCAATGACCTAGACAAGATTTACAAAATATAAAATCCAAGTATCAATCTAGATCTACTTCATTGACAATAACTCTTGCTATAGAATTGTTTAATTACTAAAATTACACAATTGCTCATTGAACTAGAAGGAAATTACTTGACCAATGAATTAAGAATCACTAGTGTGACTTCGTGAACATACCTCCAGGTACTGCTCCTCTAGCCAGAACAATGTGCCCTGAAATCCTACCACAACTCACATTAGCTGAGATCTAGCTGCATCAAAGGCATGCCATAAATTGACGTGTGCTGCAACTTCAATTCATGTCTTAATTTTTATGAGTCTGGGTAAAGAATTTTATTTCCTGGACCTTCCTATCCCACATCTAAAATGAGAAGTTAAACCCAGAGGGTTGTCCCTTTGTGCTAATCCCAGAACTCAGAAGGCCAAGACCTTGTCTTCAAAAAACAAACAAACAATCAAAAACAAAAACACTTTAAAATAATAAGTAATAATAAACTGTTTCAGCGACTGGGGAATTGTAAAGGAGGAGGTGAGATTCAAATTAAAGGCCAGTCAGGCCAACTTAGTACACTCAAGGCCAAAGCTACAATAAGGTCTGGGGATAGACAAGCTGTAAAGGGCTTGTCTAGCACAAGACCCTGATTTCAGCAGCCGGGACTACAAAAACGGAGAATAAAATTAAGAGACCCAGATTTTTTGTGTTTATAAATAAAAGCTTTTGTATATGTTCTGGGTCTCTGAAAAACATTACAAAATAAATTATATAATTTTAACATTGTGTTTATCTGTAACAGCTCAATGATTGACACATTGTACTAGGCAAATATTGTACAAATACAAAAATCTCTATCTTTACCTTTTCAGTTGCATAAAATTTTTTTCTGATTCAAACGCTCAAAATAACTTTCTTTAAAATACAATTTTTTTTGTATGAGCTGTATCAAAGGTGTCAGTTAAGCTTTTTTTCCCCATGTTACTGACTTTTGAAGCAAATAAACCCAACTTAAAAGTGAATGGCTGGGAAAGCAGTCACTTTATTTCTATTATATGTATTTCAGAAACATCTCCTGCCACTGAAAAATGTATTCTCAGAGCCAGGGTTTGAAAATTCATGAGAAAGGACACCAGCCTCCCCAGAAGCCTGGCTAAATTAGGGAACTTCCTCAGCAGAGGAAGTGGGGGTGCCAGCACCCAGCTCTTCTTAGCTCTGTAGGCCTGAGACCTGGGACACAGCAGCTCTGGCTCTCCACGCCTGAGAAAACAGGGGTGCCTAGTGAAGGTATCCATGTACCCCAGGGCAGACCAAACTTCAGGGACATTCACCTTCCAGCCTAGCATGGAAGGTGAGCAACACATACTTGAGAAAACAAGGCATACTGTTCTGGCTGCACTTTCCCTGGAGCTCTGAGGCGGGGACCAAAGCACAGGGAAGGAACTTCCACCTTGCTCTTGAGCCCCCATGCACAGTTTCAAGCTATGAGCATAGTTTAGAACCTATTAATATGTATGCCTTTTAACACTGTCATTGATAATTACTTAAACATATAGGTATCTTGTTTGTTGGTTGCTTTGTTTTTTGAGACAGGGTTTCTCTGAATTGCTTTGGAGCCTGTCCTGGAACTAGCTCTGTAGACCAGGCTGGTCTCAAACTCACAGAGATCTGCCTGCCTCTGCCTCCCGAGTGGTGGGATTAAATGCATGCACCACCAATGCCTGGCCCATATAGGTATCTTTGGTAACCATTACATTATAATCTTTCTGCAGCTAAAAAAGTGATGCATGGTATGTAGGGTGGTGGGGGAAATGCAGGAGGGACTCAAGGCTGGTAGATGGATACAAATAAGAAAGCACTCACTGAGAGTACAGAAGAAGTTCAAACTCTACAATGAGGACTTTAGGAAAATCTTGTATTATTGAGTGTTATTTATTGGTGTTAGAGGTACTCATTTCATTGGGCCAATATTCTTACTGTTAAGTTATAAGCTGGGTTTGAATGGCTAGAATTTCGGTATAAAAGGTCTTGTTTCTGCCATTGGTAATATGTTGATATTACCTAAGGCTAAAAGAATATTCTCCTGGAGTATATCTGTGGAACTCCACCTTATACTCATATGGATTATCTTTGGAAAATGAATTCCTACTGAAGTATCACAGCTTAATGAACAAGATTTTTAATTTAATGACTTCCTTACAAAGAAACTAGCTATAAAGAACCTTACAATTTTATTTATTTATTTATTTATTTTTGCAAAAACAGCCTGAGTTGAGAATACTAGAAAATGATAGTTTCATCAATTTTTCTCTTTGTATTTCTTAGTATTTTTAGCCCTGTTAAAAACACTGTATCTCTCAATTACTCTGTACCAAAGGCCACTCTAGAACTCACTATATAGTCCAAGTTGGCCCTAAATCCATAGTCATCTGTCTGCCTTAGTCTCCCAAACACTGGGATTATAGCTATGAGCCATCAAGACCAATTAATGTTTTTAAAATTTCAAAATGCAAGTTAAAGAACATGATATTAAAGGATACACACATTATCATGAAGTTACCCACTATTTTTTTTGTTGTTCTGTTATTTGATAAGAGTAGCTAAAAATCTATTCATCTGTCATGAATCTCATTTACTGTACAATGTTCTTACCTAGTGTCCCTGTGTTATAAAGCAAATACCTTAGCATGTCAAAGTTTTCCTCAATATGTATTTTTCCAGAATCTTTATCTCCACAATGGAACTAAAATGTTTGATTTTAGTACTGTGGTTGTTTGAATGAGGATGGATCCCACAGGTTCAAATGTTTGAATGCTTGGTTAATGGAACTGTTTGGGAAGGATTAGGAGATAAAGCCTTGCTAGAGTAGCTATGGCCTTGTTGGAGGAGGTGTGCCACTGGGGGTTGGGGTAGCCTTTGAGGTTTCAAAGGCCTTTTATCTCCTTGACTGCTGCCTATGGATCAGGATGTAAAGCTCTCAGCTACCACTCCAGATATACCTGCCTCTAAGCCACCATGCTTCCCACCCTGATGTAAGAGTTGGTCATGGTGTCTCTCCACAGCAACAGAATAGTGACTAAGATAAGTTCTATACAGCATAAGTCAAAATACCCAGTCTCACACTGTGTTTAAAAGATCCTAAGTTACTGAAGTGTGAGGTCTGAGCTCTCAATCAAAACAAACTATACCTTACACCATCACTTAAAATAAAAGAGCTGAGTGAGAACTCCTTATTTCGCATGATTTACAGTAAGTGGATCCTTCAACTTTCCTTACAGAACTGAAATAGACTCCCATCGTCTGCACCAATGCAGCAAAGTCAGCCTCCATGGGTAAACAGGTGTCCATAGTCAGATGTGCCCAACATGTCACTTCTGACACAGCTTCTGAAATAAGGAAGATGCCAAACCCTGAGAATGCTAAGAGGACACTTTCCTCTCCTAGGACTCTCATTCAATGGCTCTACACATTCAGCACTTTGAGGGCGCTCTGAAGAGGCTTTGCTCCCACAAAGCACTGGAGCAGCACTGGCTGTCAGTACAAATTCTGCAAGGCTGTGTTAGGCTTCTTCACCAGTGCTAATGTGGACAACCTTACCATCCAACTGTTGCAGACCGAACTCGCTTCCTCTCAGTTCTGCCCCTGGAACCATATGAGAACATACAGGGAAAGCAGCTATCTGCTTGCAAGCCAGGAAACATCCCCACCGGAACCTGACTATGTCAGCACCCCATCTCAGGATTTCAGGCTCCAAAACAGTTAGAAAACAGATTTCTGCTGGAGAAACAATTGATGGGGCTTTATTAACACGGTCAGAATCGAGTAAGACCCTTTACATTTGCTTGAAGAATTTTTAATGCTTCCTGGGATCTTTGTATTTGCACAAATATTTAAGCCAATGAAAAGTCCTTCAGGAACTATTTTTGTCCAGCCATTGGGAACCTTCTGCTCCACTCCACTCAGAGGCAAAAATACAAGCAACACTCCCCAGTTGTCATAACTTTCCATGGAGTCATCTGACCACTCTAATATTGTTTCTGCAACAGTGACCTGAGTTCTACCTGAAGTATGTGCTAAAATACAGATTTCCAGTCTTATTCCAGAGGAACTGATTCTGAATATCCCAGGGGGTAGGACCCTGGGATATGTATTTTAAACGAACACCCTTGGCAACTCCTATATGCTAAAATAAGGGCTCCTGCACCATAAAGCAATGGAATCATCCTGTATCAATGACCCTGGGTAATCAGGCTTTTCAGCACTCACACTGGCCCTGCCAAAATTAAAGCTAAAATGCTGTGTTTGAGTAGCAAAGGCTAAAGGATGTATAAGCCTACAT